GTGTGTGTGTGTGTGTGTGTGTGTGTGTGTGTGTGTGTGTGTGTGTGGTCTGTGCACAAGCACCTTTGGAGCTGCATTGTGAATCTGGGCTGGAGGGTCCAGTAATTGCAGTACTGCTGACCTTGGGATTGTGGAACAGACCTCTGCCAAGCCCTCAGAGTTGGCACATCAATTCAATTCAATTCAACAAAAAGATATCTTGTCTAGTCCTCTGCATCTAAGCCACCCTAGGCCCATGGTTGTCTACTATCTGCTTAAAGAAAACGTAGGGTTTCAGTTGGTGACTCGCCCCTGTCTGGCCACTGAGGTCTTCCTTATATCTCACCTAATGGGAACTCTCAGTTACGGCCACTATTGTAAAGTGTGGTGAGGCAGCGCTCAGACGTCTCTTAGTCATTCCTCCCCACCCCATGCTGGATAAGAGAGATTTTCTGGCAGATTTACAGATCCAGAGACAGAAGACTCAGGAGATGTCATGGGACTTGCTTAAAGGTTGAGCTACTGTCAATGGGGATAAGAATTCAGTTCCCAGACACTAATATTGGAGGATTATCTGATTATATTTTTCTAGTGCCATCTCAGGCCTGTAGGGCAGGGGAGCATTGTTTTACCCAAGACCTGTCCTACAGAGGCCACCATAATTAATACACTCTCTGCTCTTTCTCTTCCACTTGGAATTCGAGGCCTGGCCCACGCAAGGCGCCTTGGGGATCAGCAGATGCCGAGAATGAGGTGGAGTGGGTTGGTTGTATAAGGCAATCGGGTAGTCATTAAGTGAGGCGAGCTGTCAGGGCCTGGGCTGGAGCCAGCATATTCTATATCGACAGGAGGTCTGCTACCATTGTCATGGAGAGAGGGGAGACAGTTTGAGTAATTGTTCCTTCCAGCTTTCGATTTAACGAGAATCCCAGACATCCCACTGGCCAGCTGTGGGCAGGTTTCTGCATCTCCTACAGTTGGGAAAACAGCTGTGGGAAGGGACCACCTGCATCTCGGGCATAATTAAGAGGCACCAAAGTCACCCTGCTGCAAAGGCTATTGGTGCCTCCCCTGAGCAGACTGACTTTCTCTTTTAGTCGACCGGGTCAGGCTAAGGGGTTGTTCTCCAAATGTTTGTTGGAGCCAGCAGGGTGGAGAGGAAAGTTGAAAAGAACACCACATGTATCAGCAGCCTCAGTCACTGTTCCTCTGGAGCCTGGGTTGGGATGGGCCCTGGCACAATGGGCAAGAGACATATAGGGCTTCTAGGAGCTGATGCTAGAAGGAGCCTTGGAGTTGTGTCATTAGTCCTGACCTTAGAACTGTAAATGCTTTCTAGTTTAACCTTTTTTTTTTAAGATAACTATCATCATATCTGCTAGGTCTAAGACCCATTGGGGAATGCCAAAACATCATGCATGTTTGTATAGAAACCTTGTGGAGCCCACGCTGTGGGTCCTCTCTCTACCCTCTAGTTTTAGCTCTCATCAAAAGCCATTAAGGGAAAAATTGGCTCCCTCTTCCAAATACTAGCCTTCCAGATATTTGAAGTCTCTTTTCTAGGAGTCAAAACAGATGCCCCATGTTTCCTTTGTAGTAGATATATTTCATAAAATCTTGGAACTGGAGCTGGCAAAAGACCTTAGGAATGATCTAGCTTATTCAGCAAGTATTAAGTTATTCAGGACACTGTGCTAGGGGTCAAGGGGAAGGAGGGGGAGGGGGAAAGATATATTTGACAGATGAGGAAGGTGAATGACTTTTCTCAAGGCTGAGGACTGAGTCAGTGGCAGAGGTGTGGAATTAGAGCCCAGGGCTGCCTGCTCCTGGGCCAGAGCACTTTTCACTAGGCTAAGCTCAGCTGCTGAGGCATGAAATGTGGCAGGGCCATGGAAATGAGTGCCTTTCTCAAGCAAAGGTCCCAGGAGGAGCTTGTGATGCAACAGACCTTTTTCTTTTCTTTTCTTTTTTTTGTTCAGAGTCACACCTTCAGACTCACTGCCCTCTCTTGCCGGGACAGGGGTAGGGTGAAGGTGGGGGGTAGAGGGAAGTGTTGCAGATGAGAAACTGTCTGATGCTGCCTTGGACTTCAGTTCTTCCCATACTAAAATTCACTTGACTGTGCTAGTTGTAACCACCCTGGAAAATCCAGCAGAGGAGGCAGAAATGGAGAAAAACAATGGGGACTTTTTTTTTGCAGAAGAAATCTAATTCGAAAGTCTCTCCCTTTGGCCTTAGAGGGTTGTGATTTGTCAAGTTGCCAGGGCCCCTAGAAGGAGCCCACCTTCTAATACAAAGAGGGTTCCCCACCCCCAGCCCAATCCTCAGGCCTCCCTGGGGGAAGCCTTGGCAGACAGGAAGCAGGAGGCAAGAGTAGCAGACAGGACAGACTCAGGTCCCAATGGAGTCAGTCTCCCGGAGGAACAGTGGAAGGAAGGAGCCCTTTGACTTGGAACTAAAGGGAAAGGGAGAGATTATGAGTCTGGTTTTCCACAGACTAGGAGGAAGGATGTGGTTTTGGTTGCTTTTTTTTTTTTGCTGAAGGGATCAAAATTCCATTTATTAATAACCATTTTAGTGGCAACCCAGATTAATTCAGCGCCTTATTTCTTGTGAACCTAAGGCATCGTGCATACATGTCAAAATCTCATGGAAGTCCATGCTGTGGGATTGTGGCCTTAGTAAGGAAGACCTTTAAGGAATTTGAATAGTTACATTCCCTTGAAATGAGGCCACAAAAGTGTCGCTTTATATTAAGTTGTATCTTATAAAAATGTGATATTTGGAAGTTCCAGATAACTGTTTTATTTATTGTGAGGAGTTTACAGGGGCATCATTGT